CTCGGCTGTGCCTCAGCATCAGTGACTTTCATCCCAAATCCTTTAACCCAGCCTGGGAGGTTTCCACCATTCTGATCGGGCTGCTATCCTTCATGACTAGTGAAGAGATGACCACCGGTAGTGTCAGTGCTTCGGAGGCGGAACGGAGAGTGTTGGCTGCGCGCTCAAGGTGGTGGAACTCTACAGGTGGAGGTTCTCACATCAGCGCAACTCCAGGAGTGACTCCCACAGCGAGGGGAATTAACAATGTGAAGGCTGGAGATGGCGGCTTCAAGTTCCGCAGCGAATGGCCGGAGCTAGATCAAGAGAATTGGCAATGGATGAGAGAAAACCGCATTGATACGAACACTGGGCAACTTATACCCGACCCTAACTCCTCAGTCACAAAGTGCTCTCCAGAGACAAGCGCACTCCGCAGGCGTCCAAACGCAAGCGCGCCTGGACTCGGCGCGGTAATGGAGGGTGGCCAGGTCGCACGAGAAGTAGGTCAGAGCTGGGCTCGTCGAAACAAGTTCTGGATTGGTCTCGCCCTCATATTCAGCTACGCACTTCTTACCAGGCTGGTCAACGATGTTCAAGGTTGAGCTTTCCAGAATTTATTTCTCTTTCACACCAATACGCCGCTACTTTTCATCGAGTGGTCCTGAGAGAGCATCGTGAGTCTTTGAAATCGGTTCAGCGAAGGGAACAGCTAGCGACTAGGCGCCTCTTTTTGGCAGAGTTTCCTTTGTTTCATTGTGGCTTTAATCCCAGCTTCGTAATGGTGCCGTTATCTCCATTCTTTATTTCATTTCTGGGCGACTGACTACATTGCACGATTGTTCTGCAGCTATTGGGATTGCATTCTGCAGGTTTGTCGGTTTTACATGATCTCTGAGGCGTTCTAGACCAGGCGTGGCGTCCGGAGCTCTGATGATGGCCAAATTTGCCCGTCGACAATGTACTTCAATCAAAGTTTGAATAGCAAGAACTGAACCTTCATTACATTTGTCCGTAGTCATTGGGGGAAAGGATACTCTAGTTAGTTGATCTCGTCCTTATGGATGTGGGGGCCTTGAGCTTATTGTGAAAACAGTGACCGGGCGATAAAGCCATTTGGTTGAGGTTACACGAATGGGGCAACGTAGACACGATGTAGATACGATTAGAAATGGTGAAGACATCTCTCTGAAAAGCAGGATTCTGTGGGACAGTGTAGAATAGGTCAAGATTCATCTATTGATAGAAAAGGAGGAGGATAGCGGCTCCTCAGCGATCCCGCAATGCAACGACGACAATGATTATGATTGTCAACCAAAGTTTGGAACGAGGCGAATTCATATTAAAGATCGACAATTATAGGAAGAGATGCATCATGTCAAAGTTCGTGCCGAGCAAGAGAAAGTTACACTACAGAGTAATAATTATAGAAAATATACTAGATATGGAATAGTGATGATGGGAGTACCTCTCTAGTCGAGTTATCTTACTCCTATGTATGGTAGGTCCCTTGCCATTATTATTTGTATCCTCTCTCACTCTTTGTTGCAACTTTCATCCATCTTGGATCGTTCGTGGTCTCTTCATCTCACCTTCAACCCATTCTTGTAATAATTTATTATTATTCTGTATCATGATATGATCATCGTACAGTACTCACACGTGTCCATGTGTTGTGGGAGTGCATAGGTGCTAACGACATACACACTGTGCCTCCAATAAGATCGATCTTCCATCTCACAGATTACTTCGTCCCCGAGTAGCCATACTAACACTTGCTGCATGGCCGCTGCTCGTCCCCCTGTGTCGGAGTTGTACTTGCAGATTCCTGGGGTAGTACTTTGATATTTTGACCTTCACGGCTACTCCTTTAGGATTCTTTTGCGAGGCCCTCTCCAAGGCCAGCAATGGACCGTCATCATGAGGTTCAGGGGGTCCCCAACCTTCATGAATCGAAAGGTTCGTTCTATTCTGTCGTCTGCAGTGTCCACCATACGATGTTTTGACATCGCGCATTAAATTCGATTTTCTTCAGCTCTCTACTCTTCTCGTATCTCTTCTTTCATCCGCTTAACAGCTTGCAACTGTCTTGTATACAAAATTGAAGCTGGTATAATACTATTCTGAGCAGTCCTCTAAACAAGGAATGTTGCACTGCCTGGCGATTTTTACTGTGTGCCTGAGCCAGAGAGCTCGAGATGTCGATGGCCTATTTCCTTGATTTATTCCGCGATCTATGAAGTTCTTTGTTTCTGTGCAACGGATCTATTGCTACTTCACTGGCATACCCAGCTTTGACCAATATGCCTATCAATCGGGTCACACACTACAGGACAGCACTTTGATGTCAGATTAAGTCAAATCGAATAGGCTGTTTGCTTACTACGAATCGTCCAGCATCGAACCCCATCCATCCTGCTGCGATTGACCGCCCAATGTACACCTTTATCGACCATGACGATGATCTGAGCTCCAAGAAAATCAAAGACGCCAATGCGCGCAAAGCCATTCGCTCTCATGTTATGCGTGACGTGCGCAGGCGAGAGCGACTTGCTGGCTTGAAGAGAGTCCCAAAGCGAGAATCCCGTCTAAAACAACCTTTACCACTCTCTGCGTCGATTTCACCGCAGGCGGAAAGCTCCACGTCCGAGTATCTGTTGGAAGCAGGGGTGGCTTCTCCATTACCCGCGTCTTCCTCATTCGCAGACTCCAACCCTGCCCGTAGTCTTCTTAGACCCCCACATGAACGACGGCGACCGATAGTATGGAGAGCTGGTTATTCAGCGGCACCGACCCCTGCCCCCAACCCTCTGGCTTTTCCGCCGTCTTGGCTTCTTGATCCATTTGGTTCACTGCCGGGCGCTGGTGAGGCCCCATCGAGGGTTGCTCGTCTTGTGTTCTATTGTGAGTGTCCTGGTCTCTTACCTTCACCACACTGTGGCAGCAACTGTCGCACGAAGTTTTCAGGTTTTTGCACGGCAGAGCTTCCTGCAATAGCTGCAATTGGGAGGAATTCTTGAGATACGTTCCCCTGGCATCTGGCTAACGTTTATCGTCGAGAAGGGAAGTCTGTCTTTGTTCCAATGACGTTTCCGGAGGAGCATAAGATCAACGAGCAGGCGGAGACTGCATTGATGGTCAAATCGTCATTCTCGGATCCAGGAAGTTTTTTTGGACTGATGGCTATGTGTGCGGCTCATCGGGCTGTATTGGCCGGATACCACATCGATTGCTCCCGTGCACCGGACAGTTCTCGCCCAACCGGCCACGACGCAGATTACTATTTTATGAAAGCTAGATGCATGCAAGAGATGAACGCTAAAATGTGTGATTCTAATCGTGCACTGAGCGATGAATCATTTGATACAATGGTCAATCTACTGACAAGTACAGTAAGGGCCACCTTCTCGATCTAGCTTCTCCTTCCGGTCTTGGACTAGGTGCCGATATTTCGATGTCGAATCTTTTTTCTAATCCTCCGCAGCTGATCATAGGAATGTTCGACGAAGCTCGAATACATCTAGCTGGCTTGAAACGCATGGTGGAGTTGCGGGGAGGCCTCATGGCAGATAGCATCCACCAACCTTCGATGCTAGCAGCCATCATCACGTATGTAGTGGCATTCCCAAATATCCAGAGGATCGTGTTAAGCATGGAATTAGGTCCGACGTGAAGGCAGCGTCGGGTCTCATGACGAAGCCATTGTTCCCTCTTCCCTGGGATCCTCGACCGGTTCCGTCTAGTGCTCAACAACGGATTAGACCACCGGCTGCGTCGGTGTTAGCGAGGCTGGGTGCAGCATTCTCTGCCAATGACATTCTCAGTCTTCCTCTACTGAGAATCTTAGATGTGCTGCGTGATATAGTTCTTTACAGTCAGGCCTACAGGGAGAGACCCGCGTCTCTTTATCCTGAGGACCATGAGCTTTTTCGCGTGGTAAATTGCGAGACCGAACACCGGCTCCTTTCTTATATATACACCGATGACTATCAAGGCTCACCTTTTGGAACACAATTGGACATCAGTCCTATTGAAGCTGTCACCAGAGTCGCCTGTATCTGCTTTCTCAATCAGTTTCTGATAGTATCACCGCCATCGAGTGGGCTAGGTCGCGCCTTGACTAAGCACTTGAAAGCATCTATGAGCAGCTGTTCACTATCCTTAGGTCCAAAGTCGGCCAAGGCCATATACGGACTACTCGCGTGGGTATTATTCGTCGGGGCTCAAGGTTCAGCCGGACAGGTGGAACATTCCTGGTTCATTGACCGGCTTGCTCGGTTGGCCATGCTTCAGGGCTGGCAGAAATGGGAACAGGTAGCGGACATTTTAGCTGACTATTTCTATCTACCTGATTTTCACGGAGCAATCTGGGAATCAGCCTGGGAGGAGGCTGTAATCGGGCTCCTTTCGGAACGATGTATCGGGGTGTACTCCAACTCTTCACTACGGGCCTGATCTGGTTTAGTGAGTCGAAAGTCATGCTATGTGAGGAATACCACACGAGGTCTCCAGGCAGAATTTGGATACCCGGAACCATTTATTTCGTGCAACATCCCAGGTAGCAAAGCGTATACAAAGTTATCAAAGCCATAAATTCCAAGCTATACCGATTTAGACCTGTAAGCATGCCCTAGTGAAAGCTCAGAAATATTTATTTCAGGTGAATTGAATCAGAAGCGAAATTAATAGCAAATAATCGCCGATGCCATAGTGGATAAATGCACAGCTGTTGTACCTCATCCATCACTCATCCTCTCTTGCATATGCCATCAACATGATTGGCTCCATGATTAAATATCACGTGATATGTGTATGATAAGGTTACGGACCGGATTTATCCGAAGACCTATTTCTTGCCAGAAATTGTTATTATGTCATCTGCCTGAAAGTTTTTGGATGTTAATAGTAGGAAATATACTCCATTGATTTATCCGTGCTTCAACCCTCGAACGAATTTGAACTTAGTCCTTCACCATCAATACCTTCTTCTTTACTATTTATACGGTAATAGTCTCTCCAATATGGGTTGGTTTTGGGCAGATCCGCAGGCAAAGTCAACGCCTGTGGCACCAAATCCTCTGGCATCCTCTGATGCGTCCCCTCCAGTTAGTACAAGATCCTGTTGGCATATCTCCCAGAAACCGTTTAATTGACTTCGTGCAGCCAGGATGTCCCATGCATGCTTCCAACGCTCCTCCAGCCTTGTCTTCGCCGTCTGCTCGGTCTGATACTTCCAGCTCCTGCCCTGTTCGATCCCCAGACTCTCCATTCTATGTGCAGCCGAAAACTACCGTGACGGACTCTCCTCGGCCTCCCGCTCCCGAAACCAGATCGACTTTGTCAAAACTGAATCCTCTTAACTACATGTTCTCCTCGATTTCTCAAGAGCGAGCACCGAATCAGACCGTAGACCTGCCGGTGGAACGAGAGCCTTCCTCCATACCTAGAGGCGATGCAGACGGCAACTGGGAGTACCCCTCCCCCCAGCAAATGTACAACGCTATGCTCCGTAAAGGTTACACCGACACGCCACAGGATGCTGTCGAAGCCATGGTAGCGGTCCACAATTTCCTGAATGAAGGTGCCTGGGCTGAAATAGTTGGATGGGAGCGCCTCTTTGCTAAGGGCCTGGGACAAGCGTGGGAAAAGTGCCGAAAGGGAGAGCAAGGCATTGCCCTGGAAGCAATGAAGCAGGAGATGACCGGAAACGTCGATCCAGCCAGTGAACCTCGACTCCTCAGGTTCAAGGGTCGGCCACAAGAGCTTACCCCCAAGGCGCAGATCCTTCAAGCTTTAGGTTGGCTGTATCCTGCCAAGTTTGGGTGAGTCGACGTGATTTCCATTGACGTTGAATTGTGCTTACACGGATATTCTACAGAACAAGTCCACCTTTTGATCGCCACGATTGGTTTGTGCTCCGACAGACGCCATCTGGGCCCAAAGAAGTCCGCTACGTGATTGATTACTATTCCGGCCCCCCCGAGCCAACTGGTGAGCCAGTGTTCTATCTCGACATCAGGCCAGCCTTGGACACCCCAACGGCGGCCGTTGAGCGTCTAATGAGATGGGGCGGCGACGTCTGGTACAGAGCTAGCGGCGGTGCCGTGCGAGAGAACAATAATTCGTAATAACACGCTCTGCGGCCAACACGCGAAAGCGTACGATTGGATGAACCGACATATTTCTTATGGAGAATGCATACTTGAGAGCGCGGGCGACTCTGACAGTTGGACGAAACATTCAGTTCTCGACATCACTTTTTTTGCTGTTGTTCATCTCTTCGCTTCACATGCACATGCTTGACTGTGTTCCTGCTTTATACAAGCAATTGGTAATGGAGTTTAGTGGTAACCTGTCTTGTTTTGAGTATGGGCTCATTGTGCTTTCGCTGTTTTTCCTCCATCTCCTCTCACTGGTCTCTAGGGCATTGTACTATACAGCAATATTAATGTATCGCAAGAGCATATATATACAGTCACGTCTAATTTCATTGTAAACAAAACGTAGGAGCTATTGATCTTCTTTTCTGATCACAGACAAGTATACATGGTTAGGATGTCTATATAACTGAGTCGTTTTTGTTCATCAAGTCAATGTACATATTACGTGCCCATCCACTATCATGAGTAGTAGGGCAAAGAACCTATATATAACAGGAGCAGGGTTTTATGAACATCGCTCGGGTTGGAAATCAATCGAGAGGAGCTCTCACTTCTGTCGACCAGAGACTGCTTGAGGTTGCTGCAATTGAGTGGCTGCCGGCTTCTGAAAACCCCAAGAGCTGACCCTGAAGTGTCAATCATTGCAGCGTTTGCATCGTATAATCGCCGCAGTACCTGTAAACCTAGGAAATGTAAACATCACCCTGAATTCCGGCCTTGTAAGTAGTGACACAATTCTAGATGAAACGTGAGGGGCTGCTATCTCGCCGTCTGTTAAATGTTTGGAGACAACAGATCATATTTCACACACTGCTCCACACTCTCAATGCTAGCCTGGAGGAGACCACGCGCTTCGAGGCCGACCCAGACACGAAGCATGGAAGTATCGCCCGAACGGACGGAGCTAAGAAGAGTCGCACCGGAACCAAGCTGCCGCAAGATCGGAAGAGCACTAATTGAATTAGCCATGGATTGTGGAATAGTTGGGCCGAGGAGACCCCTGATATCAACAGAGAGACAAAAGTATCAGCATACCTCTTGAAGAGATCCAGGCCTGGATCCAGACTTCGACCGATGCCTTCGAGAAGAAGGATAGAGATGACCACATTGACAAAATCGCCCTCGAGCCGAACGTGATGGCTTCGAACCATGGATAATACCTCGCTCAGCACGTCCCCAATTTTGATGTTGCCCAATGCGAATGTCCGTGATTTAATGTTGTAGACCAGGTGCTCCATCTTCAGCGCGAAGACATCCGCGTCGATGACTTCTTCCGGCTGACGGCACCGCTCAACCATCAATTGGCCCGCTCTGAACCCGTCAAACTCGGCCACCGCTCGAAACAGGTCGAGGAAGTTTCTCCGGTTGGTCTCGTTGAGCTGGGTCACTAGGCCAGTGTCGATAAAGATGAGCTGGGGGCGATAGCCCTCAGCATTCAGCTGGGAAAGAGCAGCATGCCAGGCCTCTCGATTATGGGCGTGCGGCCTCAATCGGGCCAGTACAGTCTCGGTCACATCAGCTTCGGCGGCGGTTGGTGCATCTGAAACACGACTGCGCTTGCCGAGTGATAAGTCCAACTCAGCGGGTTGATAGAATCTGACCATTATATTCCCCGGGTGCAAATCAGCGTGAACAAAGTTGTCTATCAGAAGCATATGAAGGAACGCATCCAGACCCTCGTTTGCGATCTCTTGCTGGTAGACACCCCCTCCAACATCCAAGAAAGTCTTCAGGGGGATCCCTTGAGCGAATTCTTCGACAAGCACTTCACGCGTGGTGTACTCCAAGTAGGGGTAGGGAAACCAAGCGGTGGTTCGTGATTTGAACTTCTGGCGAAAGATCACAAGGTTGGATGCCTCGATTCTGAGGTCCAACTGTAGTTTCATCATCTCACCAAACTGCTGTACTTCATCCGGCAAGGACAACCAGTGCATTGTGGGGATGGCATTAATCAAGGATGCGAAGAAAGACATGATTCGCAAATCCCTTCGGATCACGCGCTCAACCTTTGGATGGAGTACTTTAATGGCCACGTACGAGGACGGAACCCGTCGCGGCGAACTCTTTACCAGCACGTCGACGTTCTTTCTTACCTTCCCGCGGAAGCTTCTGTCCTCAAGTGTCAGAGCCTGATCGTCCATCACAGCCAAGCTCGACTTGAGCTTTGCCTTGTATACTTGAGCAATAGCCCCCACTCCTAGCGGTTCCTCGTAGAACTCCTCAAAAATCTCCTCGAATGGTAGACCATTGAAAGCCTTGCTTATCGTCTTTTTAGTCTGATGCAACGAATGCGCAGGAGCATGAGAGTGTAACGAAGACATAATGTTGCACATTGCCGGCGGAAAGATATCGGTGCGTGATGCAGCCCACTGTCCGAGCTATGGGGAAGGAATGGTAGTCAGTACGTGCATGGTAGCCAACTAACTCATGTACGATGGGCGCTCACCTTGATGAACGCTGGGCCAGCACGCTCCATTGACCTGACTAAAAAGCCGTACCACCAAATGGCTCCTGCCCGCTCCCCCTTTCCATCGTCGAGCCGCCGTCCAAACCATATAGAAGGCACTGTAATAATGACAGGAATGAAAACAATCGCCAAATGGACGAACCGAAAGCCGGTAGCGATTGGGTCGTATATGTAGCAGTACCAAAACACAAAGAGCTCTTCACAAAGCTTCGTCAAGCCTCGCGCATCCTCGGAGACACTTTTTCGAATCTCTTGACGCGAAATTTCTAGCATCTGCATCTCCCCAGTCTTGTCATGACCATCTCCATTCTCCGCCAACTCTAGGAAGGCGCCCGGCGTCAGCGCCGCAAACAGGACCGTTCTTCCCACGGGCGCCTTCCTGTGAAATGGTCTCCACGGACTTGGAGGCCATGGCGTATGTTTTGAGCGGAATCGAAATGGCGTTGCAAAGCGGGTTAGTAGTTGCGGACTTCCACCACCTCGGCACCAAAAGAAACGGCCAAAGAGGGTGGCCGTCCTCATATTATCATGCAAGGGCAAGCCTTTTCGGACCCAGGAAAGTCATCGACGGGTAGATCAAGGCTTCTGCATGAACCTGAAGGCCGCCCATGAGAAGATTGATGTGATATTGCCCGGTGGAGGACCGGAGAGCGAGACCAACCCGAGGGCGGGCGCCGCACGTGTCACGACGTCATCGGCAGCATCGGATCAGGAACATTTCCTCCTCTCTCATCATCATGATGATTGAGGAGACAGAGCAACCGGAAGGTAGTCTGATGGCTGCTTTATTCTTATCTCTCTGAGAGGTAGTTCGGTTTCATATTACGGTGTTGAATCAATTATCTAAGATGACTAGTTCTTCGATTGGTCACATTCCACAATCCAGGCGCTGCCAGCCACCAACCTCCAGATTACCACCCCATGATTACCACCATGATTACCTGTTCCGGCGCAGGCTGGTCTCTTGCTGTTCCTGGTAGATATTGATTAGTCAAGACGAAACTGTGCTCACTCACCGACTCATTCGGTCTAGGTACTGCGATGGCCGGAAACAGGCAATGTTTTCACACTCCACTATAGCTGACAATTCGGGTCGTCATGCCTCAAGTATCTCTGAGTACCTAGGCGGAGACATTGGTCTTCAGGCGTGACATCTTCCTCTGCTTGATTCTTTTGAATGCCCTTGAGGTACGGTCATGCCAGTCCAGTATGAGTCGCCTCGAAAAGCTCGACGACGTAGAATCGCAAGACGAGGATGCCTCAAGAGACCTGACATGGTCCACTATAGTGAAATGGGGTGCCATCACCTATACCAGCATGCTCATTGTGTTCATCAGCATATGCAGCTGTTATCCTTCACTCATTGAAGTAGGGCTGCTTTCACTGCTATCCCACCGACGCTCCTCCGGCCCCTTTCTTGCGTATTCCCACAATGTTGGTCCATTTGAGAAACCGGCGGGGTTTGACATCGTTGCACTGGTGCCCTACAAACATCATGAGCAGACGTCTGTTTTGGACTGTTACCTGCAGGTATTGTTGGATCTTCTCCTGTGGTGACGAACTGGTTGAACTGATCAGTCTCAGAAACATCTTGTCAACAATCATGGGTTCCTAGACAAAGTGATTTTTATTCCGCAGTCGAATGATACAGCGAGTCTTGAATGGCTGGCCTCGATTGTCCAAGAGACGTCCGCCTACAGCATTTGGACATCACCGGCTAACATTTACCGGGAAACGAATAGGCGTACGCTGTTCGTCTGGCTGGACGGCGATATCGTCTTTCTGGAAGACCACACCATTCCAACCATTGTCAGAACAATGCTCGACAATTCGGATTCATTAGTGGTCTCCGCAAATGTCATCAACCAGGCAGCTCTTGAGGCACTTCACAGTCATTCTGGGGTTGCTTTGCCCTACCTCCCAGAACTTCATCAGGCTTCGGCAGCTGCGCAACTACCACCTGCAGGAGACCTAGACTGGCGTACTTCAAATCTTCCAGCGTGGACCGGACCAAAAGATTTTCGGGTCCTAAAAGGATTCGCTTCGCCCGCCAACAAGCATCGCTGGCTCCTTTCAGATGATGAACAGGTCGACCGGACTCCGATCAGCACATCCATGTACACCACTGATGGACCGGGCTTTACTGATTGGACTGTCAAAGCTCAACAGCATTACTCTTTCCTGCACCACCTTGAATGGAACGAGCTTTACCGATACAAATTCCCCAAGTGGAGCAATCCTACAGACGTCAGCCCGAATCTTCTGTGCTTCTGGGACGCTGATGCGAATGCCGTGCAGTCCAACATCCTGCCCAGTAGTTCGTACGTACCATTCGGATTTGTCGAGGATGCCAATAAGTCTAGCAAACGCATCGTTATCGATGGCAAAGGTTTGGCAACACATTACTCGGCGGACGCAGGCGCCGAGGACCTGCACTCTACTGATATTTTTCAACGGTACGAGGCCTACGCGAAAGAAATGATTTGCCCCAATGTTTCCTGAGTTTCTGGTTGCCGGGGAACTCGTGTACCGGAGTAATGGTCCGGTCACGCATCGTTGATTCTCATGTCATCTATACAACCCAGATATAGGATAGTTATACACTGTTTATAGACTTGATTCTCTTCCAAAACAGATAAACGAAGCCAACCGCCAGGTTTAGCCAGCATGGTCTAAGGTTTGGCATGTAATCACGACTGGCAAGTCTTCATAGCCATATATACCTAGAAACTGCTTCCATATTGATGACGGGAGATGTAAGGGACAGAATCTCAATTCAGCCTCGTCCCTTGCAGCTGCCGTGAGACATGGCTATGCATGAGTCTCTCCAACGTGGCTCGCTGGGGAGCTGAGAGTGCATTAGTCTGCTCGGAGTTCGACATTAGTAGACGCTTGCAGATATTGGAGGAAAAGCACTGCTTTTGACTTACATCATTTTTCAACAGCTCTTGAATAAGGACTACGATATTATCGCGATCCTTGGCTGCCTTCAATTTGTCCGCTTCATTCGCCGAGTCACAAACAGGCCTGCTCATCGTCTCCTCCAGTAACGGGTACAAGTCCAGCTTCTGCAGGCAGTCGATAACGGCGGCAGTGCCATGTTTGCTCGAAGCCATCAAAGCCAAGGCGAACCAGCCCTCGCTCCTGACCACAAGCCATTGCGATTGAGCAATCATAGCACCAAGTGGAAGCGCAACGCCCTCGTGCATAGTGAACAGACGCTCGAGGAGTGTGCTAGCCTCGCTGTCCGCTTCGCGAGACTTTGGCACAATTGTGCGGCAAATTGAAGCTACGATCCGTCCGACCTCCGTTTTGATGGGCGTGGAGTCCGTTTTCTCACACAGAGAGAGTAAGGATGAGAGGTATGTCTGTTGGGAGGTCGAGGAGTCCTCGCCAGTAGGAGCAAGTTCCAGCAGACGCGAAATGTTCGCGATCGATGAGATGATCACTTGCCGAACAATGCTTGTTGCCGCAAATTGGACTTGAGGGACCGTCTCGTATCCCCATAGGCGCGAGACTGCAGGAATGATCCCAGCATTGCCCAGATATTGTCGGTTATCGCCAGCTATAGCCAAGTTCTTCAGAATTCCAATTGCGGAATGGAGAACTGCGCCTCTAGCATCAGATCTCAGAATCGATATCAACAAAGTGTGTATGTTCATCTTTCTGACCATCGCTTCGCACACCCCGTCTGATCGTGCCAAGTTGCCCAGCATCACACATGAACAGATTTGAAGTTGGTCTTCGGTGGAAGCCAGCCAATCTTTCAAGGTCTGAACAAGAGGAGACTCAAGGGGATATACCTCGGAGAATTTGGGTGATGCAGAGACTTCTGAAAGTGTTTGGTTGATCTTCAGCTGCAGCTGCGCCAGTGCTTTGGTATCATCACTTGACGAAGGGTCTGCTTTGATATATAAGGACTGTTTGAGGACAGACAACACTCGTTCAACTATACATTGACCAACACAAATATCCTGGAATCGTTCCTTGTCCAGATAGGCCATGAGACAATTAGCAAGGCATACGAATCGAGAGAGAGCAACTCCATCTTCAGACAAAAGATCCAAGAGAAGTAGGATTGTTCCTCCTGGCGATTCTCGGATTCCTTGTTCTGCCATCGGTTTTGTCAGCATGAAACGCGGTATGACAGGGTAGGCCTTACCTTGCTCTGCGAGCAGCTCTATGAGTTCGTAAGAGAAGTCAAGAAGCGCCTCATTATCTTCGAGTAAGCCATCCTTGATTAGTCTCAAAAGAATATATACTAGTTTGTTCGCCGCCAGTTGACTTTGGGCTGGCTCTGTATAACCGTCAGAACCATAGCCTGATACTGGAAGATATACCAACCATAATCAATGCAGATGTTGTATATAACAGGAATCACGACATGCACAAGTTCTGGGCTAAGACAGCTGAGGATGGCAGCTGTATAGTTATCCTTGACAACAAGGGCTCTGTTTTCATCTGGAGAAGGTCAAAATTACCGTAACTTGGGTCATTCATCAATGATGCAGCTTACCAGTGTCAGCACAGGAATTGCCGACTAACCGTAGAGCATGAAGGAGTACATCTTCGTCATGGAACTCTCTCGAGGCGATGATCTGAAGGAAGAAATTCAAGATGCCAGCTCGCCCGTATGGGACTCTCCAGGATGCTAAGCGGAGGTCAGTTAGTATCTCCCGATGATGAAACAGCCCAAGATTACGCACAGTTTCGACTCCCGTTCGCCAGAGCATCAGCTGCCAACGCCAGATAACTCGACCGACACTTCCAGAGTTCAATTAGAATGGTCTGCACTTCCTCGAATCTCTCAGCACCGCCTGTAGCCTCTGCAAGCACGTCTTCTAAGCGTCGCAAAAGGGCCGCTTGCTCGTCAACTGGGACCGAAGAAATTGTCTGCACCGGTAGAATTGACGGTCCGGGACTCAATTGTGACAATATCTGGCCCAACGAAGGACAGTCCATGCCATTCTGTGCCTGGCTGGACGTCTCCTTCGCCGATTGATCTTCAGCATCAGGTCCAGCCGTTTGAACCACATCCGGCTCGTTGTCGGTGATCATGTCTTTGAACCGATTGCGTAAATAGCCTCTTCTGTAAATATGGAGTATACCCAGACAGTACAGCAAGGCAAGCAAGCCTCGTCCTCAAGCAAGAGTGTCCGTACTTAAAAAAAGCTGTCTCTTCCCACAGTGCCGAGAGGGGTTGCCACTTTAATCCCGTTTTTGGGGCTATTTTTCTCGCCCCGGATGGCCTAGATGACCAAATATGAAGATCGACACTGAAGGACCGGTGGATGGCCTTATTACCCTTGTCTGAAGTAAAGTCTACAATGATATCGATGATATCGATGATAGCTAGAAGTGGATCAAGGTAGCTAATTGTTCCGTCCAGGTTGTTCATACTTGTAATTTATTACCATACAATCTCAAATACACCTTTTCAAGGCCACTCTTCTCATGAAGCCTTTTCATGCCATAACAAAATGAAATATTACCGGCTGTTCTTCAAGGCTTTTTAAATTGAGTGCAGAACGATCAGGTTCCATACTCTCTCTGGTTAGTTGTGATTGTCCTCGAAACATACAACGTCAGGTACAGTACTGCTAGCTTTTCGGAGGACATAGCGGCCATGGGGCCGCCCGTATCCAGCCAGTAAGGTAAATGTAAGGTACCGAGACTACAGACAGATGCAATTAAGTTAGGGAAATAAAGTAGACAACTCCATGGTGGCAGTTCGACCCTGAGTCCTTCATTCTACTGTGTGTCAATTGAGTCCTAGTTGAACGTCTAATATACTCTCATTTAATCTCTTCCTATCTCTTTTCATCCCACGTCAACCACCACATTCCTTCACCATGACACGCGCCCAGCAAACCCTCTCGATTCTCCTGCTTGTGTCTTCTGTACGTGGCAGCTTCCCGCTCAAAATCCCCAATTCTACTGACACCAGCCCCCGACCTAGCTCTACCTCGTCCTATACCTGGGCCTCGTACCCCTGAACGAAACTGTCCAAAATGAAATCATCCCGGTTGTACGTTCCTCCACCGCGGTTCCGCTCGCTGTTTACAGCTGTCCAAGTTGCACCGCTGATCTTTGTGCGATTTACTCACCAGCTTCCCTTCTACGGCCTAATATGTTTCGCCTGCTACCTGGGTGGTCGGCTCGGTCTGGCCATCCTGACCTTCAACGACTGTCCCGAAGCGCACCAGGAGTTGCAGAAGGAGATTGAGCAGGCGAGGGCCGACCTGCGCAGCCAGAACGTTGACGTTGACTAAGATGTAGTCCTTGTTGTGGTTGCTCGGCGTTTGCTTTTGGTATCAGCAATCTGTTGGATATGTGCTTTCGTCAGCTTAAGCTCTGCCTGTTCGCGCTTTGATTGTAATAATGATGACTCAAGTACGCTCTCGCGCAAAGCTCGACACCCAAATGACGGGATTTCGTTAGATCCTTGGAGACACAGAAGTGGTAAGAGTCTATCACCCGGTCTCGGTGATCTATGATATTTGGTAGGATTAGTGTCCCAGGTCGATCCATACTACGGGTCAAGCATAACATCGACCGATTTATGAACAACCGTTGAGCAAGAATGCCTACCGAGGCCTATGAGAGTTCCAAATTTCCTGAACCTAGAATGAGAATAAAAACTTTTCTTGCCTTTGATTCATTCACGATCAAATGTAAGCCAGACGACCCATCACGGGCCTTGATATGCATTGCTTCCTTTACCGGAGAGCCTCTCAAAACACCATTCGTAAACGTGACATGTCCAACATGAACTTCATCAAGCTCAGTAAAGATAAAATAGAAAACTTTATATGTGCAAGCAAATGAAAACCAATATGCAAGAGTGCTAAAAAGCGGGCGATTTATACAAAGCAAAATGTATGAAACAATCATACGACGTAGTCGCTCGACCTGGAGACCTAAATCAGGGGGTTTTCCATGGCCAGTCTGTCGTGCTCTTCGATATCCCTGTTGTTGGAGTCTCCGTTAGTGACCGAGGAAACGAGGAAGGCGACAAGTCCAGTACGTACTTGGCTTCCCAGGGATAGCAGATCCACACATCTTCCGTTGTGACTGCGGCAAGATAACGGCCAGATTCCATCATGTCGGCTGGCAACTCGCCCTTCTTCAACTTGTTCTTGTTCTAACGAAAAGTCAGCCACCTATTCCGCAGAATCGCCTTTCTTGGAAATTGAAGATCAAGAACATACGTGAAGGACAAAGACGAAGAAGTTTGTCTTCTCAGCCTCACGGCCGAGCTGCTTCTGAGCCATCTCCAGGTCCTTCTGCAGCTCACGGACTGCATACTCCAGGGTTGTCCGGGTGTCATCGACCTCGTCGACAATGAGGATGTTCTTGCCAATAAGATTGGCCATCTCGAGAGAGCTAAGATCGAGCCATTGTGTCCGGGTCACCTTGGTTCCGGGAACCTCTTCGGGGTCGCCACGACCCAAGTCCTCATAGAGAGACAGACCGATAGCCTGAATGGGAATGTTGGGCTCGCCGGCACGCTTAAGGAAGGAGCTGATAGAAGGACTTGATCAGCATGAATCTTTGAGCTAACACTGGAACTGTTCGGCATACCGAAGGATACGAGCAGGAACGTAACCACCACCACCAATGGCAATCATAAGATTGGGCCGGAAGGTGTCCAGGATCTTCTCGGCGGAGGTCTGGCACAACTTGTGCACCTGTCAATTCAACCCGTCAGCGAACAGTCATTGACAAAAAGTGCAGAAGCACATTTGCTGTAGCTGAGCTGCAAGGTAATGGTGAGGAAAATGAGGCAGATGCAGATGCAGGTTGCACACGTGCGCCTTCTCCGAACATTGATTTTCTCGTGCAATACCGTCGCAGCCATCCAATGAGCGGGTGATCGAACAAGCATACCTGGTTGTATGTCACATAGAATTTCTGCGGCATGTTGGCGACGAGGGATCTTCCGATCGACAAGTTTAAGAATGAAGCGTGGAGGGGTAAATTCTCGATAGAAGAAGATCAATGAGCGGGCAACAGCTTCAAGGGAATCTTTGTGCGAGATAAAATCAAAATGTACCTTAGGTATCCAGTAGAATTAGAGAGGGAG